AATTAAAAATGATTTTTTACAGAACCCTTCCCTAGAGTTTTATAATGAACTTCCCAAAGTTTCATGCCTATCGGATGAACGGTGTCACTGCAATTCACTTTTATTATTCATATATACCGTATATAGAGGAAAATCGCACCCTCCCGTGGCGGCGCCCTTGCGAAATTAAGAATTATTTTTTTAACAGAACACTTTCCTAGAGTGTTCTAATCAACTCCCTACAGTCTCATGGCTATCGGGTGAACGCTGTCAAACCAAAATCTACTTTTATTTTTATATATCGTATAAAAAAACAAATTGCGCCCTGCCGGGGCGCTACCCCTGCGAATTTGAAAATGTTTTTTAATGCAGAAACCTCCCCAGGAATATTCTAAATATCTTCCCAAAGTTTCATGGCGATCGTGTGAACGGTGTCACTGTAATTCACTTTTATTATTTTTATATACCGTATATAGAGAAAAATCGCACCCTCCCGTGGCGCCGCCCTTGATATATTAAAAATGATTTTTGTACAGAACCCTTCCCTAGAGTGTTCTAATCTACTCCGCAAAGTTTCATGCCTATCGGATGAACGATGCCAAACCAAAATAGACTTTTATTTTTATATACCGTATATAGAGAAAAACAAATCGCGCCCTTCCATGGCGCCGCCCTTGCGAATTTGAATTTTTTTTCGCAGAAACCTCCCCAGGAATATTCTCAACAACTTCCTAAAGTGTCACGGCGATGTGATGAGAGGTGTAGTAATGCATAAAGGACAAACATGTTTGATGGTAAACTGATAGTGACATCAGACTGATGGTGATGGTAGACTGATAGTGATGGTAGACTGATGATGAAACTGTAGAAACACCAAACAGACACAGGGGAAAAATTGTCCGTGTAGTTAAATCATTCCGATAAGTATTCCGTTTGTTTTTTTTTTTTGGTATCTGGTGGAATGATAAAAATCTAGCCAATGTGTGTCTGTGTGGTTGAATATGGAAATTGAGGAGATACAATTTGATTTTTTAATCCATCAGTCAGTATCGTAGTCCGTATAGTTGACTACATAACGTAATTTCTACCTGATGGGTGGTCTAATTAAGAGATAAACGAACGCTGATTAAAGTTTTTAACGTAGAGGGTAGAGGTGCGATTTTTCTCTATATACGGTAAAAAAAAATTGTATGCGGTTCGACACAGTTTATCCGAGTGCCATGAAACTTTGGAGAGTAAATGAAAATACTCTGCGAAAAAAAAAAAAATTCTTATGGGCGGCGCCCGAGTTAGTGCATTTTTTTTAATCAATACACGTTTTGGCACCCAGAGTTCCAGAGCGGCTATGTTAGTACTTGGCATCCGTTAATCGGGCGTTCTGCATTGCCAAGTCGTAAGTACTATATTCAGCGGCAAAACTGCAACAGACGCAACCGCCGGCACCTCGTCCATTTTACGACCCGAAGAGCCCCGGGCTCACCTGCGAGCACTTTAGCGCCTACATTCGTTTTTTTTTAAGTCTGTACACTATAGACACGATGGGCAACAATACGTTCATTTTAAACAGCGCGATAGGCTATGGATAAATGGATTGCTATAGTCGCTCACTAAATTGAGTCACTGCCGGGTGCGATTTGGCGCCCAGGGCTATCCCGTGAGCACTAAGCGCCTACCTTAGTTTTAAGGAGCACACTACAAAACGATATTCCGACATTCGATAATTAAACCAAGCTAGGGGCCGTACGCGGCGCCCCGGCGGTAGTGTTATCGGGTTCACGAGAGCGCCACTTACCGTCGGTAGTGATTAACGGTGATATTACGGTGAGTGATTAACTTACACTCAAGGCTTACATACAGCACGCCATGATGGTGGGCGGTAGTGTAGGAAACCAGTGCCCCGATAAATATGATCCAAACACAGGAATTGTTTACATTTAAATAACTCACGTTTTAGGAAACAAGGAAGTAGTTCTACATTGAAATATCGAGTAACTAAATGTTCTAATATAATAGCGAGTATTTAATGTTTATATTTATTATTATATCGTTCATTACTGAGTGTTGCAGACTAATACATTTATGAGTATTAAAAATAAAATAAAATAATTATTTATGTTTGTGCATCGAGCTGAAGAGCCACATCTTGACACCTAAAGAGCCGCATGCGGCTCGCGAGCCGCAGGTTGCCGACCCCTGTCCTATACTAATTAATAAAATATAAATGAACTTAAAAACAAGATAACAGAAACCTGACAGACAAGACTTTCAAAAAACCTTAGCCGGCCCTTGCTCTGTCCTGATGATAATACGGACACCGCGCAAACCACCAGCTGGCCTGTGCCAACACCTTTAATGGATACATATTCAAATGAAACTGTAAGTAATCTTCAAAGTGGGAGAAAAACCGGAGAATGTGTCACAAAAGGAGAGCCCTGTACCCGTAAGTACACTCTTTAAAAAACGCTTGCGGTGACCGTACCTGGGCAGCATCCAAAAAACACGTTACGTATGCTGATTAAAGAAATAAAATACGACGAATTCATATTAGAGGACCTATATACGAGTGAACTGAACGTAAGTCGTTCTAAAAAATTCTTAATGTCTACAACTTGGGGAAACCAAGCAAATGGTTATCTCTCTCAAATCAGATGAAATTTACAACTCTCTACATTTGGCAGTGATATGTGAACATTCGGATTATTGTAGCAGCATTTTGCTGCTGCATGTGGACAAAAATGGTCAGATGGGTCATTTAAATTGGGTACCCCCTACCATTACCCAGAACATGATCAATAAAATTATGATTGAAATATCAGAACCAGACACAATAGTTTCAGCTCTTAAAATCGGGACGAGTGATAAGTGGGCAGTCGATTTATGTCCGAACGCTCCTTTAAATGATTTACCCCTTTACATTGATCTTGAGATCGGTGGGGAAACTTACACCTTGTTACCACAACTCAATGGTATGAGATCTAAATGCCCCCTGTGTGGCACAACCAAACATGGACCAGCCGCCTGCCGAAGTTCGTATGTAAGGGAAAGGGACAATATATCGATAGACAACGATGGTGACTACTTCGATAATGATCAACTTATAGACGACAGTGAATATGTGTCAGACGACGCCACAGAAATCGAGCCAGCCCAAGAACCAGCCACAGTCATAGCCCCATCAACAGAAGGAGAATGTACAATAGTTATGCAAGGAAGAACAAGCCTCCACGGAAAAATAAAAAAAATGATAGTTTACGAAGCAAAGAAAATAAACACATTATTGAAACTGATACTATCCATAGCCCTAAACGGCCAACCCCAACCCCAACACGCCCAGCCCCAAAGGACAGAACCACGACAAAAAGGAAAACATTTAATATTATTTTATTATTAATACATTTCCTAATCTTGCTGAATGTGTGTTTGATATTGAGCCTTGATACCAAATTTGGCTTGATTAGCTCAAACGGTTCAAAAGTTATAGACCAAGTTTGAAAAAGATAAGTGAAAACGGTGTTGGGTCTGTGAGCTCAGGAAATGGGAGAAATTAGGCCAGGGAGACCCGGACCCAAAGGGTTACAATTAAAATTCTGATTAGTTTAAAAAATAATAAACTAGAATAAACCATAAAGACTGTGGCAGATAGTCAGTAAACACTGAATAGCACTGATTAGTTAATGTATATTTTGTTTTATGTCTTACCCATTTCATTATCGATTACATTTTCTCAAGCCTTACCCCTACCAAATGATAGTCTAAAGTCTAAACCTTAAATCAAATCTATTAATAATAATCCTGACAGCTATAGCAACATTGTAAATCTGCATCAGTCCTCACACGTCGCATGATAAACACAGTAAAGTTACAATGGACGCCGTGGGACAACGTCTAGACCGTTGATACATTTACAAATCCGAGACTAACAAATTTAAAAAAAAAATGTAAATTTAATACTGTCAATGGCGTTTGTAGCCGGAAATACTTGTCATAAATAAATAAATAAATAAATAAATAAATAAATTTAAAAAAAAAAAAAAATATATATATATATATATATATATATATATATATATATATATATATATATATATATATATATATATATATATATATATATATATATATATATATATATATATATATCTTGTACATTAGAAAGGCAATGCTTTACTGTCACGCTAGTGACCGTATATGTCTGCAATCCTTTACCGAAAAAAAACAAAAAAACATCAAGTTTAACATAACTCACTCCATTAATTACATCGTCACACCGTTTTTAAATACAACGTCCACAATCATCACTAAATCAATTACATCTTCTTATACTCCTTAATGATTTTGATGTCCCATCCCCACAACATCACACCATCTCCTACACTGCCCTATACCATCTAGTACTAGGTTAGGGTTAAGTTAGGGGAGTACATTGTTTTAATTATAAATTATCGTCCTTGATGACTTTATATGTGAACTCCATGACGGAAATGTAGCGATCGTCTTTTAGCTCGTTTTGTCGTCAGTCAGAAAATGTATTGTGTGGTCTATTTCAATGTCAAGGTTAGGGTTTAGTGAGGGTAGTGATTGTATGGCCATGGTCTAGTATGGTGTGGGATAGTCGTGTTAGGGTTTAGTAAGCATGAGGTTATATGAGCATTGTCTAGTAAGGGTGGGGTAGCATGTTTAAGTGTGGTTTAGTATTGTATGTAGTTTATCTGGTATAGTGTGGGATAGAAGGGTTAAAGTTTAGTGATGGTGTTGGTCTTGGGTTATTGGGTTATTGGGTTGTGTAAATTAGTTGAAATAGATTGCAAAACGTAGAGATTAAGTTGGTTTAGAATTTGGTCTGTATCCTGAGCAAGACTTTAAGTACAATCTTTTGGTTGAAAGGTTGGTATGTAACTGATGTAGTTTAACAGGTAGGCCTATATTGTTTTCTAATATGTTTTTTTTTTTTTGCAAAATCAACAAGAACATATTTTCTGTCACATAATTATCTGGGTCTGATCAGTACTACACTCTATTACTGTCTTGTGCGGGTCACGGGTCTGGTGCGGGTCACTGGTCTGGTGCGGGTCACTGGTCTGGTACGGGTCACGGATCCGGTGCGGGTCACTGGTCTGGTGCGGGTCACTGGTCTGGTGCGGGTCACTGGTCTGGTGCGGGTCACGGGTCTGGTATGGGTCACGGATCCGGTGCGGGTCACTGGTCTGGTGCGGGTCACGGGTCTGGTGCGGGTCACGGGTCTGGTGCGGGTCACGGGTCTGTTGCGGGTCACTGGTCTGGTGCGGGTCACTGGTCTGGTGCGGGTCACTGGTCTGGTACGGGTCACGGATCAGGTGCGGGTCACTGGTCTGGTGCGGGTCACTGGTCTGGTGCGGGTCACGGGTCAGGTGCGGGTCACGGGTCTGGTGCGGTCACGGGTCTGGTGCGGGTCACTGGTCTGGTACGGGTCACGGATCCGGTGCGGGTCACTGGTCTGGTGCGGGTCACTGGTCTGTTGCGGGTCACGGGTCAGGTGCGGGTCACGTGTCTGGTGCGGGTCACGGGTCTGTTGCGGGTCACGGTTCTGGTGCGGGTCACTGGTCTGGTGCGGGTCACGGGTCTGTTGCTGGTCATTGGTCTGGTGAGGGTCACGTGTGTCAAGCCTATCCTGAGAGCCGCTGACCCTCATATAAATAAAGCCTTCTATTATTAGTCCTACGTTTTTTTAGGTGTGCATGTAACATATTGTTTGAACATTAGGAAAATTATTATTACGAGCCGACCCGCTGCGTATCATACGCCGCTATTTAGTTTTTTTTTTTTTTTTTTCTACTTTTCAGTAATTTATAATTTGTGAATTCGACATTACCAATGCTGCCACTGAAACAATTTGCTTAAAAACACTAAACCCCCTCCCCCCCCCCCCCCCACGTGAAAGCAGCCTCCTCTTAGTTACCTCCTCTTAAGTTTAAAATCGTTTCAAACTAAATTATCTGCCCCTAATAGCCGTCACCAAACCCGTCTCTATGATTGTAAAATGTAAACAGCGTGAACCACAGCTCACCAGGCCATGTGAGGGGGTGGGGGTGGGGTGGTAGCGATAGAGAGGAAGAGAGGGGACTGTAAGGCGCGCTTGCAGCTTGTTTTCTAAAGGCTCCCAGAAGAGAATTATATATATAGAAGATTAGGAAACTTATTATTATTGCGGTGTCTGGCGGCACTGCAGTTCCGCCCCTGCACACCATCCTCAACATCACCTATTGCAATTACTGAGACTAAAGTGACACGTCTAGATTTTCTAGTTTGGTTTTGACATTTTTAATTATGTAAAAGTATAATGAACATTTATGCCCCATGTTCTAATTATAAACATGTAGGGGTATTAATTAAGAACTATTATTGGCGAGGCTATTTCAAGATTTTTTCAAGAGTAATTTAGAAAAAAGCAACAGATAGTTAATTTTGTTTAAGAAAAAATAAATATTGATAGACTTTTGCAGAACAATACCTTTTATTAAAGATAAAAGTATTTCTTTATTTATATAAAAAAAAACAATACTTATAAAACATACGTTTTATGATTTGTTACTCACGACGCTTTACATTTAATTACGCTCATATGACCGTTCACTTTTGCAATATGATTTCTATAGTAATACATTTATTAAAAGTACAAACAAGCACATTCTAGAGTTGTTTTTTTTTTTTTTAAACACGATTAGAAACATTAGCCACTAAACCTTAATAGAAAATATATTAAATCGAGGCTTAGGGGTACACGCCATTCATACCCATATCAACACCTTCCGATTAAAACATCTGGATAGAATAATGATAGAACCACATTATCATCCATTAGCAATATACAACATAAGGTTAAACATAAAGAGCATTTTGAAATTAAACATCACAACACAACACTATGGGGGGGGGGGGGGGAATGACATAGGCAGCTGTTATAAAGAAAACTAGCACGATTCCAAGGAAACGAAAGCACTATTGGTGAAGACACAACAAAATATACGACACTCTAATCAAACAAAAATACACGAGAATTAGTTCGACCAGGGAACACTATATAATAGAAATTGCAGATACATTGAGAAACCTACAAATATTAGCATAACACCAAAAGAAAGGGAAGTAGCATAAAGACTGATTTTTAATACAACTCAAGTTTTACGAAACACAAAGTCAAATCAAAATGTTAAAATATCATGTCACTTAAACAATGAAAGCTGTATAAATAAAGAAGAATTTAAAAGTCATCACAACAACTTTGGTTATTATTCTTCAAACAGAAAAGTATAAAATTAAGATAACTGTTATGTCGATTAAAATGTAAATACAATTCATATATTTTGTTCATGTGGTATGTTTAAATATTTAACTTTAAACGATATAAAGTATAAAGTTAATAACTTTGGGTCGTTTGTTTCAACATACATTTGCGTTCAAACTTTGTAGGCCTACAGTGCGCCATTTTTTTGTGTATATGTGTTAGATTTATGTATATTAGTCATGTCTGGAGAGGTAACACAATTCTCTATAGGGCTGGTAAGTAGTTCATCAACCAGTTCTATGGCTCATGCGGGTTTTATTGAGCTGAAAAACTGGTTGTTGACCTACTTACCAGCCCTATAGCTGGCTAAATTAAAGGGAATTAATGTTCTACCAAGACTAACACAAACAGTAGTTGACTATCTTAAAGATATGGTGTTAATATCCTAACACATTGAAAATAATAACAGGTACATTGGGCATAATGAATACAATTACAACAAGAAAACTTATCGCACTAAAAGTCAGAACATAAATTGATTAGCATGAAATACGTCATCTAACAGTATCACATCAAAGTAGGATATTTTTATCTTGCGCCATTCGTTTATTCTTATCTCTAATTATTAGAAATATTTGAAAAATAAAATAACAATTTTAGTTAACATTTTTTAAAAAAAAAACTAAATAGTACAATTAAAGTGCGAAAAAAAAAGTAAATTAGACATTCTCTTGTACCCACCCCGGTCATTGATTTATTTATATTGAAAATATTCCACTAACCATTTCTTCCTCTGTAAATTATTCAGATGGATGTGTCATTGTATTCTCCATAGTTAGCAATTGTGCAATGGGTTCACCCCGCCCCCCCCCCCCCCCCCCCCCCCCATCCATTTAGAGATCGTCAATCTGTAGGCCTACTTAATAGACTTTTTAACTTTAATTAGTCAATCACTGACCTGGGGAAAAGCATATATCTGGCTCGCGACGCATTTGACTTGCACCACCACAACATTCTCTATTTGAATGCATTCACGAAATTATTGTTACTTGTAACAGTTACTTCCCGTATTTATAATTTAAATATACTAAGGGGGATAATAAATCCGTTTTGTTTCAAAACATACTAAAACATTATATTAATATTAATTTAAAAATAATATACGTATTGTTGTTTTTTTTCATTTAAAATGTGTCTTAAAAGCTTTTAAGTTATGATTTACAACATTTTTTTGTAATTTTCACTTATTAGTCTTCCCTTTTCACAAATCGGAAAGCTTTAAATAAGCTAACATTCATTTTGTATAGTTAAGAAAACTTTGAATTGACCCCTTCACTCAACATTTCGACTCGGGTTCCCTATTTTCTTTCGAATATCAATCTCGCCACGGATCGCTGTGGTGTTGCGCCCACACCTCACTCGAAGTGCACCATGCCCTCGAGATGACTCACCCAGTACTTGTATTGGGTCACTTCCAATTTGTACGAGTGGCTAATTTTCTATTTTTTCAGCTTGACGACACCCACCTAGGTCAGGGGTCTGCAACCTTTTCAGACAGAAGAGCCAAAAGTTACAATTTACAAAATTCCCAAGTTTTTAAAGAGCCAGTATCTTTTTATTTTAATATTATAATCTTTGATTAGGATTACATATATATATATATATATATATATATATATATATATATATATATATATATATATATATATATATATATATATATTGATATATTGATATATATATATATATATATATATATATATATATATATATATATCAATATATCAATATATATCAATGTATGTAGCATGTAAGTGTGTGTGTGTGTGTCTGTTTGTCTTTTATTCATTACTATACCTTTCATCATCCGATCGCCATGAAACTTTAGGAAGCTGTTGAGAATAATCATGGGGAGATATTTGCGAAAATAAAATGTTAAATTCGCAAATAGAATAGCGATTGTTTAATGATTATATTTATTATTATATCGTTCATTACCGAGTGTTGCAGACTAATATTTTTATGTGTTTCAAGAATTAAATAAAATAATTATTAATATTTGTGCATAAAGCTGAAGAGCCGAAACTCGACATCAAAAGAGCCGCATGCGGCTCGCGAGCCGCAGGTTGCCGACCCCTGACCTAGGAGAAATCTTAGGTGGGAGATTCCGTCACAAATACCAGCAAAGCAACTTATCATATCTCAAATACTTAATACTTCCTCATCTACGATACACAATTAGTTGACTGCCCACAACTTCACGATTACTCTGACGACACCCACCTAGGAGAAATCTTAGGTAGGAGGTTCCGTCACAAACACCATCAAGTCAATTCAACATCACTCAAAGATCAACTACTCAAACAACTTCACTAGTACTCAACTCGCATAAAAATAGACACTAGTCAACAGCCTCACCTCGCCCAATTCAACTACTCAACCAAGCTTTCGGCTACTCGATCACTCTCATTTTTTTTTTCTTTTTTACAATCTTCTACACATCAATACCACGAAAAATAAACTTTCTTCAACAACTTTATTTCGCCCACTTCAACTACTTGCCTACGCAAGAATACAACGAACAATAAATCAAAGCAACCTATGAAAAAATATATCTCAACACGAGGACACCATCTCAACTACCCTCTTCAAGCTCTACCCCATTGGAACAACTCTACCATCAACGACAAGACACGAGAATCGTCCTTTCAACAATGCAACATCCCTCATTGATACTCTCAAACTACAACGACTATACAAAACTAGATGCTACCAACCAAGAATCAAGAACTACCCTACCAAGATTGTAATACACGCAAGAAGCAAGGCCAAAGAACTGCGAGAAGCGATCATGTTTTGTCATGTTTTGTCATGTACTCTATAACTGTTATTTTAATTAAAAAAAAACGGAAGTAAAAACAAGAAAACAGATTGACACGGAAAATACGAAAAGCACGGATTCAATTGCTTAAATATGTATAATATTTCATGTATGTCTATGCTCATGTAACCTGCCCTTGCTGCCTACCCTGCTCGATTGGGAAAGCAGCAAAACAAGTACATTATTAAAGTACAAAAAAAAACATATTTTCGAAAAAATAACACAATACACAGAGATACTTTTTTTCGTCTTGTATAAGTCTCAGTGTTGTAGATTTTTCTTTTTATCGTGACCAGCTATTGTTTATGTGGTGGCAGTTGCTGATTTTTTTTTTACTATTTTCGTCATGCGACTTATGAAGACCGTTGCATATTTACAATTTTTAAACTAATCCTGAAATTTCTTTCTTAAATGTACATATCATTTACAGAATAAAGAACATATACTTTTTTAGGGGGGGGGGGGTTCATTGAACATTAGCGCTTTGCTATTTCTGAAAGATAAAAGTTATAAATTGGATAAGATT